TTAATAATAATAACAAGATATAAGAAAACTACTGATTAGTAAAAATAAATAAACATTATCAGATTTATCTGTATTATTAAGCAATTTAAACAAATCAATGTGAAGTAATATTTGTATTTAGGACGAGTGGCGGATATATCCGCCCTATACTTTTTAGATGAAATTTCGATTATGCAAAACTGCATGCAAGTCCACTATGGCGGATAGGTTAAGACAGGTTAGGTTTATTTTTACTAATATAATTTTAAGTTTTTTTAAGGTTAGGTATATTTTACTGGTTTTATAATTAATTAACCCTTTGTCCTTTAGAAAGGAGACTTCGCTTATGCAAAGGGTAAAAATATGGTTTTAGGTTAGGAAACTTGAAATGTGTATATTTTTAGGTTAGGTTTGTATTGAATTAAACGTTAAAATTCGCTATGGTTCAATCACCTCCGTTCGTGAGATTATTTGTGCGTTGCGTATATATATTTTTTTTTATTTTCCGAAAGCTAGTAGAATCATAACAAAACGTTACGTAACATATAGTTGAATGACCGTTAGCATTTCTTAATCATTTTGTGCTCAATTAAACGAAAAGTGAAATAATCATAAAAAAAAAATTAATTAATTACATTTAATTGAATTTCTAGTGATAGTACAAAGTGTCTCCATCTACAATAACGCATAAAAAATGACATTTAATATAAATAATTAAGTTGGTAAAATTGCATCAATTTTGTAAAAGTCATTAAATTCATGTTACATAACCTAGATTTATTTCAAAAACTGTAGAAGCTTCTGGAAAATTACTCTAAACAAAACATGTTTACTTTCATAAGAAATTCATCTATTGCATAACCTTAAGTTACAGTTAAATTATTAATAATAATTTTAAAAAAAATGTTGATCAATTTCCTAAATTATTTTACATAATTCTATACCATTTCGAATTAATTATTGTTATTTATTTTATATGTTTTTTTTTCTCTCTTACTGCGTTCATTTAATTTCTTATTAAAAACGTTAATTAATTCTCTCACAATACGTAAGGAAACGCGGATAAAGATATCCGAAGGTCATCAATAAATTTTCGTAATAATAACAAAAATCATGAATAACGTTTTGTTTTTTTATTTTCCTTGTCAGATTTATACGTTACAATCGTAAACGGATAATAAAGAAAAGTGAATCTGAAACGCACTTTAAATTTAATGCGTTTCAGAAAAATAATTATTATTAATCTTACAAAGTAATTAATAATTTAATTAATTGTTTCATTATTATTTTTTTGTAATATCAAGTAAACAAATGAAAAATTTCAACGTAAATTTAACATTCGTATTGGTCAAAATGACAATTATGACAGATAATAACAGTTTTGACAGTTAAATACCTGTCAAAACTGTCATTATATGTTTAGTTTTTAAGTAAGTAATTACAATCTATTAAGTAATGTAATTTCACTACAATGCGATTAAATCATTCAAATTAGTTTAAAAAAAACTGTTAATTCATAAATAATGAAATGTGCGTTTGTTGTTGTAATAAAAGTAAATAAATGAAAATTTTCAACATTTTTAAAATTTTAAATTCTTCTTCTTCTTTTATTAAACTTCCACTCCCTTCACTTAGCTTGTGTCGAGCACAATTTCGCCAGCTACCGCCAAATTTTAAATTCAAAATTGTCAAAATGACAATTATGACAGATTTGACAGGTATTTTATGTTTAGTTTTAAAGTAAGCTATTATAATCTATTAATTAATGTAATTTTACTAGAATGCGATTAAATCATTCAAATTAATTTAAAAAAAAAACTGTTAATTCATAAATAATGAAATGTACGTTTTTTGTTGTAGTAATAAAAGTAAATAAATGAACATTTTCATCATTTGTAAAATTTTAAATTCATACTTGAAAAATGACAATTATGACAGATAATGACAGTTTTTACAGGTATTTTATGTTTAGTTTTTAAGTAAGCTATTATAATCTATTAATTAATGTAATTTTACTACAATGCGATTAAATCATTCAAATTAATTAAAAAAAAAACTGTTAATTCATAAATAATGAAATGTGCGTATTTCGTTGCTGTAATAAAAGTAAATAAATGAAAATATTCATAATTTTTGAAATTCTAAATTCATAATTGTCAAAATGATAATTATGACAGATTATGACAGTTTTGACAGATATTTTATGTTTAGTTTTTAAGTAAGCTATTATAATCTATTAATTAATGTAATTTCACTACAATGCGATTAAATCATTCAAATTAATTTTAAAAAAACTGTTAATTCATAAATAATGAAATGTGCGGGTTTTGTTGTTGTAATTAAACTAAATAAATGAAAATTTTAAATTCATAATTATCAAAATGACAATTATAACAGATATTTTATGTTTAATTTTTAATTTTTAAGTAAGCAATTTTTATATATCAATTACTCCGATTTCAAAAATTCTAATTAGAAAATAAATTGATTATCTTTTATTTTAAGATTTTAATTTTTCATTTGTAAATTGAATGTTTTGTTTTTATTGTAAATTAAGTATTTTTTTTGTTGAATCATTGATTTATCTGCTTCTATTTGATAAATAATAAATGGAAATCAATTGGTTTTGATTGAGTTTGAATAATTCATCTGGATTATCCACTCGTGGAACGATGTTACTCAATAATGTATTCTCAATTAAAGTGCAGACGAATTTACTTTAATCAATTGTTAAATGCAAATCCGTCAGTTATGTAACGATCGCTATAGAGAGGAATCCGTTAACAACGAGCTATAGAAAATTGCAAACTCTGTATATGCAGCTTATGCAACTAAGAGGAGAGCGGAGTGCGTGCGAGACGTCGACCGTCTGTGTCCGCGTTCGCAACGAAAGAGCATTGTACTCGCATGCTGCACTCGGCAAACACTTTTGCTTTCATGAAAAATAATGGGTCAGTTGGCCGCCGGTCAAAATACGTGTATTTAGGATGCGGTTAAGCACCTGGTGCACGGTGGACGTCGTCCCCGTAGCGTACGAAGCGGATTCCGCTCCGTACATCTGCATCTACCTGCTGAAATTGCGAATATTCACTCACCGATTCCGACAGCTCGCCCGTGCCCGCCATCTTGCCGAACAAACTGCGCAATATTTATTGCGTATCGCAATGAATTCAACGGATATCATTCACCACTTGGGGTCACAACGTTTGCCGGCGTCGTGGTCATAGCTATAGATCGGTAATTTGGCGCTCCCAATTCAAATTTTGAATGGTTTTCGACGATTTTCAAACACGCCATCTACATTCAACTTTTGGAAGAAAAATAGAAGACAGGTGTATCTGTCATATGCAACTCGTGAAACAAAAGTACTTTGTAAAGTTACTTGTTTAAGTACTTTGATATATAAATACTATACATATCCATGCATTTTGATATAGATTAATCGTCAAATATTGATGTAGTATTTTCGATCCATTACATTAATCTTTGATTAATGGGATTTCTTAAATACTTAATTTTTAAAAAAACTGAAGTAATTATGTAAAAAACTTAATAATAATATTGAAATCGACATGTACTTTACAAGTTACTTGTCAAGTAGAATGCTTAGATACACTGAACAAAGATGACAACTGAAATATAAGGAATGGTATAAAGCTATATTTAATAGAATTATTGTTCAGCCTTAGGGTTTTCTAATTTGATTATTGTATAAATATTAATAAAATTTCATATTTAAATCAATGTCTAGTATCAAAAGTATTTTTGAAGCAATCGAAAACCCGACAA